TGTACCAAGACTTGAAACTGAATTTCTGGTGGCCGGGAATGAAGAAAGAGATTGCTGACTTTGTATCGAAATGTCTTTATTACCAACAAGTTAAAGCTGAACATTAAGGACCCGCAGGCTTACTGCAACCCTTACCAATATCGGAGTGGAAATGGGAACATATCACTATGGATTTCATTGTTGGTTTACCTCGCTCCAGTAACGGTATGGACTCAATTTGGGTTATTGTTGATAGATTGACTAAATCTGCTCACTTTTTACCTGTCAAAACAATTTCTAATGCGGACAAATTGGCTATAATTTATATTGATGAGAATGTTAGCCTGCGTTTGGTTGTGTTTTGTAAATGTGATTTGAGAGTATGAGTTGTATTTTGAGTTTGTGAGTTGTAGAATTATGGTTTGAGTGTAGAAAATTTGTTTGGTTATGGTTTTTAAATAGAGTGTTGAATTGTGTTTTGAAGATGTATTTTGAATTAAGTTTTGAAAGTTTAATGTGACATGTGAAAGGTGAAAATTTGTTTGGTGATGTGTTTTGAAAATAATTTTCAAAACTTAATTCAACTAATAATTTATCATCAAACACACAACTCATATATCGATATCCATATTTTTTATCAACAATAATAACCAAACTATTTTTAAAATACTGAAATTAAAAATTGATTTTTTTTGTCAATTATTTTTTTTTAGTAATTTTTTTGAATAATTGTTGTTTCGAAATAATTTTTTCATTTTAAAATAAACCGATGTCAATTTTTTTCTGCCAATTAATTTTTCTATCGATATCCATATTTTTTATCAACAATAATAACCAAACTATTTTTAAAATACTGACATTAAAAATACCATTTTTTTGTCAATTAATTTTTTTTCAAATCTTTTTTTTGAATAATTTTTTTTTCAAATAATTTTGTCATTTTAAAATAAACCTATGTTAATTATTTTGTGTCAATTAATTTTTCTATCAATTTATTTTTTACGCCTGTACAAACATCTTGTAAAATACGTTTTTAATTTTTTTCTAAAATAATTGATAGAAAATCTGAATAAAATCTCACCTTTCTGAACCTTTTGAACCTCACCTTTCTATAAAATAATTGATGCCAGTTCATCTTCAGAGAGGAGGACAACCGGCCGGTCATCCCCAAGGTCTACCGCCCGGTCATCCCCAAGGTTTGATACAGATGAGGTTCACGTGAAACAGAGATGATGGAGGAGAAGGACATGGAAGCTTTTCAGAAACGTTGAAAATGGAGATACAAGCTACCAAACGGATTTTCAAAATCTAAATTGAATTAACACGCTGAATCAACTTTTGAACATCCTATCCAAACATGAAGCGGGAGTTCACATGTAGAATCATGTTTTGAATTCACAACCAAACACGTAAAACATATATTTCAATGTAAAAGAAATGACAAGTCATTTTTTTATTCATACAACTAACAAATTTATGATACAAGGCAGCCAAGAACTATATGAATTAAAATTTTAAGGAAACATAGTGTAATTAATTATACCAAATTTGTGAAATTTACTGTATTTTTTCCAAACCTCATGGAGATCTTTAAAATTTATCCATTTTTAATTTGGTACCAAATCTCTGCTTCCCCCTCCCTCCCCTTTTTTTCTATGTTTTTTTGGCAGTTACAAGCGAAAAGTAAACGACAAGGGCTGAAGAGACATACTGAGAATTAGGGTTTCTAAGGGAATTTTGCTAAATACGATGACAAGATTATAATCAATCAAATATAATAATTTCTGATAAAAAAATATTGCTAAACGAATCAATATATATATATATATATATATGCGTGTGTGTGTGTGTGTATAAAATTGCAAAATGTTTATTGGTCTCTACCTGAAACTCATTACAGAGTTCTTGCTTCCCCACACCAAGAGATAACCTGGGACATAAAAGGAACCAGCGTATCCACCAAAATTTGGGACAGCAGAGCGTGTTCAACTTTTACTCTTTCTTTTTATCAAATTTAAATTTGATAAAAAAAAAAAGGTTTAGACAAGTGCTCGTTTGGTTTTCTCCCTTGGTTAAAAAATTACAAAAGAACAAAAAAAAATCACAAAAAGACAAAAATTATAAAATAATAAAAAAAAAATATCATTTCAAAGTCAAAGAGTTAAAAAATCCAAACAAGAAAATCAAATAAACAAAAAAGTCCTAAGTTAAAAGAGTAAAAAAAAAAACTAAAAAACCAACTAAAAAAATTATTGCCAAACAATCTCTTATTACTTCTGTTAAAATTGTAGAGAGAGAGAAAATAATATATATTATATTGAATGTATTTTATACAATAGAAGGCATGTATATATAGGCTAAGAAATAATATCATATTAGGAACCTAATTATGAGAAAGAATATCCTACTAGGAACCTAACTATGGCCATTCCTAAATATATCTAAGAAATCAATACCTAATAAATCTAGGAATACCACATATACATTAACATCCTCTTCGAACTCAAAGAGGATAAACATCTTGAACTTGGAGAGAGAAACTAAAACATGAAATAAAACTAAATAAAACAAAAGGTAAATAGATTGCAAAATTCGAACAGGAGCACAATGGGCGCTTGAAATAGATCAGAGGCCAGAACTAAAGTCGGGAAACAGTTTATGGTCATGTCGGACCATTGTAAGAACTGGCTGAAACTAATGCCAGGACAATTTAAGGTCGTGCTAGACCAATATAAAAACTAGCTGGAACTAACGCCGAGAGACAGTTTATGGTCGTGTTGGACCATTGTAGGAACTGGCTGGAACTAACGCCAAGACAGTTTAAAGGAGTCATGCCGGACCGATGTAGGAGCTAACCGAAATCAATGTCGGGACAGTTTGAAGGGGTCATGCCAAACCGATGTAGGGGCTAACCGGAATCAATGTTGGAACAATTTAAAGGGGTCATGCCGGACTGATGTAGAGACAGTTTAAAGGGGTTATGCCAGATCGATGTAGAGAACTGGATGTTGAACCAGCAAACATGGCACCCACATAACTAATGATGTGGCGCTGAACGATGATGGCATGTGCTAGGGGACGACTTTGGTGATGCGCCAAGAAGACGGCTTAAAGAGTGCGGCAAAAGGAGACGGCTTAGGTAATGCACCAATGGGGCGATTTAGAGAGTGCACCAAAAGAGACAGCTTATGGAGTGCACCAAGGAAACGGCTTAGATGGTGCGCCAATGAGACGACTTAGTGGTGGCTTGGGGCTTAGGTGGTTCACATAGTATATCACCATGCTCATCGTGATATAGGTATAATACCCCCCCTCAAACTCAAATAGATGTAAAGATAGATACCTATTTGAGGTTGAAGTAGAGGGAAAGATAGAGTGAAGCAGAAGCACAAAAATATATATATATATATATATATATGATAAAGATATTTAGAGTAGGAGGTTGAGGTCTGGCGGGCTGCCAAAGCAAGGCTGCCGCCTGCCGGTAAGGCGAAAACACCAAGAGCTTAACCTATAGCTCTGATACCATGTTAGAATAGTAGAGAGAGACAGAGAGAAAAAAAAAATAACATGTATTATATTGAATGAATTATATTGAGTGTATTTTATACAATAGAAGGCCTGTATATATAGGTTAAGAAAGAGTATGCTACTAGGAACTTAACTATGAGAAAGAATATCCTACTAGGAACCTAACTATGGCCATTCCTAAATGTATCTAGGAAATCAATACCTAATATATTTAGGAATACCACATATACATTAACAACTTCAACGTTAACCTCAAACTAATATTAAATTCACGATTTCTTATACTTTTCATTAAATTAAAGATGTTTGGAGTATTTTATCAAATTATTATAGATAGTCATAGGGACAATACACTAGACACCTGATCGGTTCCTTACTTTATACTTCTGGTAACTTTATTCTAATAAGTTGATCGGTTGGATATCCTTTCGGTTGACTGGTGATTTGATGAAAAATAAAGATTCTCATTTAAAACGCTTGACATTTGATGAATTTTTTATTCAAATTTAATGAAAAAAAATGTAAATATTAGAGACGCTCTTAGTGGGGGTGTTTGGTGTAGCTTTTTTGGCCAAAAATTATTTTGGATTGTTTGGTTAAATTTATTTCAAATATCTTTTGATTCTAATAATTTATTTTAATTAAAAAAAAACTAATTCTGATAAGATGTTCATCCATTATCAACTTCTAATTAAAGCAACTTATTTATGATTATGCTTTTAGATTTTTTTTTTTTTTTAATAGAACAAGACCTAAATAGACTTTGGA